GAGGTACTGGTACCTTTGGTAAAGGTTTGGCAGGTCTGCAGTGGATCCCCCCAACAAACTTGAAGTTTGGTAAAAATGGCCGAGGAAATTCAAAGTCCCAGTATGTTCGTATTAACCATATTTCTGCCTTGCCCATCATTTCACAGGCACTGGTGGGTGTTCCTGTAACAATGGAAAAGTTGAGAGGATGTTCTAAGCTTCACAGAACTGTAAGGATATTTTGAGTCTCTCCTTCCCCTCCATCCATTTCCTACACCGCTTATTCCTAACTGGGTCATGGGGGGGGGGGGCTCACAGCCTGGACAGATCACCAGTCCGTCACAGGGCCTCATAGAGACAAACAACCACTCACATTCACCCCTAGGGGCAATTTGGAGTGTCCAATTAAACCAATATGCATGTTTTTGGTTGTTGGGAAGAAGGCAGAGTAACTAGAGGAAACCTACTCGGATGCATGGAGAACATGCAACCCTACACAGAGGTCCCCAGTGACATTTTTCATTAATTGATCTAAAGTCTTTTGGCTTGATGTCTTCTACTAAACATCCTTTTATTCTGGGCTCTTTATGAGTCGCTCACCTTTAAATTCAGAGTAATATTTGTTCAACTCTTTCCAAGCAGTATATTCAATAACGGCGTCCTGCAGAGCATAAAAGAGAAAGTTCCACAGTCGCTCTCTGAAGTTCATCTTGTCTGTGAGTTTGCTCATAGCACCAGGAACAAATGAAGGAGGAGCAGGAAGCTGACCACAGAGCCTCTCCCAGTTATTTGCTAAGGAGAAACGCAGGGAGACGACCAGAGGGATGTCCAAAATGTCTGCCGTTAGGTCACTGCCAGCGTAGATTGGATCAGCCAGAAGAAGATCAAAGTTTCCCTCCTTCAGCTTTTTCATGAGGGGTTCTGATTTCACCACACCGTCCAACATACTGAAGGAATACTCCGCATTAGTTTGAATAAATTCCAAGAATTTATTGTAAATCTGCAGGTAGCTCATATGATCCATCTCATACATGGAGAAGTACAAAAAATCCTCTAGAAGCTCCTCCAGGTCCTTCATTGAAACGGAGACATTGAAGGGCTGATAGTGAAAGCGGGACGCCTCACTGCTGTTCATAAACATGGAGGAGCTGGGAACCAGGACGGTCACCTGGTGTCCCCTGTCCACCAGCGTCTCCAGAACCGGCTTCATGTTGATCCAGTGGCTGGCCTCAGTGTACCACACCAAAATGTTCCCTCCGTTCGCGCAGGTCAGCGAACACGCCAGCAGGACCCAAACAGAGAGACACGGCTTCATGGTGCCTGGACGGTTGTCAGGAGGACCGACAGTGGCCCTTTTCATAGATGCACCCTCAGACACTTATTAACTAAATGAACTTTGACTCGCTCCTCTTTGTCCCGAGTGGCACAAGATAACCTCCTTGTTTCAGAAATGTTGTTAGAGGTAAAAGGTTATAGTTGTAAATCTGAATTTAATAATAAATTAACCAAATGAAGCTGTGCTTACTGAAAATTTCAGTTAGATGGAGTCGAGTTTGTAATATCCATTCAGCGTCTTTGGTTTTGGGACGGCTGCTTGATCTGTGCTTGTTATCATCTTTGATGCTACTGAGGTCTGCATGTAACAGGTGCTCCTTAAAGGTAATAATTAATCTCTTTTTACTATTTTCAGTCATACTACCTAAATACTACATTTCTGCAGTCAAACCACCGTGTTGCTTTTTGCTGAAGATTCGAGAAATGGTTTCATTGGCTGTACGGATGCCTTTTCTCGGGAGGTGAGCTTGAATGCCCCCTTGTACTTACGTGAATGTCAAAAGGAAGTTTGGACTTTTTGCCTCCACAGTAGAACTGCTGACCCTCTTTCTATTGGATGAAATTTTAAGTGTTTGACTTGGCATTCTTTATAGTAGATGTCTATATTACATCTACCACAGTGAGTACCTCAGTTTTTTTTCTTAATCAGACATTTGGTTCAGCAGCCAGCATTATCACATCTACATGACTGTCATTTGTGGGTGGATTGCTTTTGAACCATGCACGTTTTCATCTCGACAGTCCTCCAGTCGGTCTAAATATAGTTTTTAACTTTGGTTAAAGACCTCTTTCCTGTGTATGTTATATCAGCCCCAACTGTCTTCCAGGAAAAAACTAAACGGCTGCTGTGCAGGGCACAGTTTTCAGAGCCAACATGACTTCATCTACTGTGCAGACGATTTAGTGAATATTCAGTATTTAGGGGTTTTCAAACATGCCTGTAGGGGGTGATGTTTGTGAGAAATCTCACTTCCGACTCTTCTACTATCAAAGTCGGAAATCTGGGGACTTTGGGCCCCTCACACCTGTGACTTAAAGTTTGCTGCACATCAGCAGAACCTGACCAGTTGAGGGGGATGAAGCAGTTTGTCTTGAGAAATGAGCAAAGGTGTCTGTAATAATGTGTATATTTAAGGATGGTAATGCAGACTCAAAAATGGCCAACGCACCCAAAATTGTTTGCTAATTTATAGGATTTAAGGTTTTCATATGCATGTGATCAAATAGCTGCATTAACAAATGTGCCAAATAATGACATATAACAGTAGGAAAAAGAACAAGACAACAACTTCAACTGGAAGTTATGAGACTTCAACATGGTTCCTAAAGTGAAAGGAAAAAGGGGAAATAAGTTATTGAGGACATAAAGATAAACAAAACAGAGGCTCAGTGCAGGATGTTACAACTAAGGAGTCATGTGAAACTGCACACCCTCAAAAAAGGATACAGCGTTGACTAGAATGCACAACATCAAAAGGTTTCATAAACTTTTGAAGAACTATAAACAGGAATAGCTCTGATAAGAAAGTCCATGGAACCGAAAAACCTTTATAGGCAACATACATTTGTACAGGGGTCATAAACTTTCACCTCATTAAAGAGAAGGATCATTCAGGTGAATGTTTACCCAGCAGGATATAAATGTCTGACATTTGTGCTACTTTGGTGTAAAAAAACAAATCACTGTCAAGTGTAATCAGACAAATTGTAATTTTTCCAGATAACCAGAATACATTTAAAGACTTTATCCAATTCGCTGCTGGAGCTGCTGACTGATGTGTTTTGCCATCTTGTGTTGAATCTCACATGTCAATGGTCACAGTGGTGTCGGTCATACACATGAACACACTGATCAGTAGTTTAAGCAATTCTATATAGAAATGTCTACAAATGGAAAAACATGTTTCAAAGTTCGTACCAGGACTTTTTATTTTTTTTATTTTCAGCTGTCCATGAAGTCTGCAGCCTTCTATTCAGCCTTTCTCTTTGTCATTTTTCTGCCGCAGCACCTCCTGAAGCAGAAGCTGAAGGCCTTGACGAGGATGAATATGACCAACAGGACAATGGAGAGGAGGAAGGCCAGCACATCCAGGCTGTGGTACTCATACCAGGTGAGCTGGTGGGCCTGGACCCTCAGGTGCTTTGCTCCCTTATTCCTCATGGTGAACTCGATCCAGAACACTGCCTCATCTCGAGGATTCATGGGTCTGTCGTGGTGTATCCTGGAGAGCCGCATAGTGTTTTCTTTGTAGCTGTAAACCCAAATGAAGGCAAATGTATAAGAATCATGTGTGACTATCAAAATGGGGTGGTGTTTTTGTTTGATAAATAAAACCTCACAAAGAGCAGGTACACGTATCGTAAAAGCAGCCCACAGATAACCTGGTCTGTGTTTCAGGTGATTAGGCCATATATTTAGTTCAGTAATCTTACTATAACCTTTGAAACTGGCTGTAACTGCATGTTGTACATCACTGTACACCTGGTCTCCTGTCTGCATGCTTTTCTAGCTCTGGACGTTCACCTTAAATCAGAACCATGTGAAATAGAAAAAAGACATACGATTTGTCATTGATGACGGTCTTTAGTGCATCTCTGAGGTCCTCAGCTGTCATGAAGTTCAAGTCCACAATAAGTCCAGCTCCTTTGGCCTTTACATGGACCATGTTGTCCGGCTGGTCAGCAAACATGGGGATGCCCACCATGGGAACTCCGTGGTAGATGGCCTCATAAATCCCATTTGTCCCACCGTGAGTGATAAAGGCTTTTGTTTTCGGGTGACCTGATGTGAGGTGGGTATGAAAATGAATGTACATTGTTTATATATATATATATAAAAATTGTTGATGGTACTATGTTTCAAGGCCTTGACCAAAACTTGTGCAGCAACTATTGACATCATTTAAAAAACACGTGTCTACCCTGAAATGTGATGGAAATCTTTACTTACCCAACAAGTCATTCTGAGGGATCCAGTTAAAAATTCTGGTGTTTGGTCCCAGGGTCTCTGGTATTTTCCCGGTGTACCTCCAAAACACCTACACAAAGTGTTAATAAACATAAGTTATATTCAAAAAGCGACTTACAAAGTAGACTCAATGTTACAGTTATCAATTTGACAAGAGAGAGGGAAGCACAGAAAGAGGAGTAGAGGGGTTACAGGGCTATGGGGAAGAGTTTGCATAGGAGATGCTCTTTGAAGAGGTGGGTCTTTAAGAGTTTCCTGAAGATAGAAAGGGACGTTGCTGTACTTGTAGCGCTTGGTAGGTCATTCTACCATCTTGGAACAACACTTTGAATGATCGACCAGTGAGGTGCGATTCAAACCAGGAGTGTGCTCTCCCTGAGATGCCCATGCTCGAGAGTATAGACAGAAGGTTGCCATGGTTGACTGTCTCACACAGTTTTTTTTTTAACCTTTAATCAATTTTCTATTGCTTACTCACCTGGAATGACTCAGGCTTTTGCTTGAGAATAGAATTTCCACAACATTTTTCATTTAAAAAAAAAACTTAAGACCTGTTGGTAAGAATTAGTGTTTCCGTACACATATTGTATAAGGAAAAACCTTCAGAAGCCTGAACCACATGGAACAGATTTCAGAAAAGCAAAATTCAAATACTGTTCAAGAGACATTTGGATGTTACTCTGACCTTCTGTGGAATCTGAGCCAGAGCCGTGGCTATCATGTCTGCCTTATCAGTGGTCAAGTTCTTAATCATGGATCCTAAAGAAAAGACCACGATGCCAGCGTCCCCAGAGCTCTGCACAAATTCTTCCATGTCCTGTCAGAACAGACATGTTTTTCCACAGTCAGCGAGCCAGTGAGGATATTCAGCTGATTTACAGTAAAATGCCATTAGGGCCGTAATAACAGAGGTACTGGTACCTTTGGTAAAGGTTTGGCAGGTCTGCAGTGGATCCCCCCAACAAACTTGAAGTTTGGTAAAAATGGCCGAGGAAATTCAAAGTCCCAGTATGTTCGTATTAACCATATTTCTGCCTT